AAATAAGAATCATGTCCACAAGTTCAGCATTTTCGTAAACATGTGCCATTTTTTATTTCGTTTGAGCCAGGCAACAAACACCACTATTCACTCATGCGTTACCGATTGACACATTGACTGAATACAACTGAATAAAATTGTAGTAAAAACATCGTGATAAGCGTTTCAAATTCTTTCGCTTTTTTGTTTCCGATGCGATGAACCGATAAGGGGGATTATATCCGTTGTTGCCAAACACGAGCACATAATATTATTATTGAGACAGGGCGGTAATCAAACTTCCAAAGGGCTATAACTTTGTTACTTTAATTTTACCAGAAAAATGGTAAAGGAAAAAAACATTTCTTTTGATCAGATCTACTCACTGTTAAAATAAATGACTCAACTTCGAAGTCTGTCCCTGTATATAAGATATTCCTAAAGTATACTCGGTGACATTAGAAGTGCTACACTCAGATAAAATAATGTCTTCAACTTATAAATATATATAAAAGTGTCACCGTTTTTGAGATTTTGAATTCCTTCTTAAATTTTAAAAAACGAACCTTTTCTGTGGTCTTTAGCTACATGTACAAATAAGGTTACACCTTATTAATTTTTTCTATAAAATAATTCTAGATGGTTGCTTTATACAGGGTGACTTGTAATGTCACGTATTCCTGTTAAGGGGTGATAGATTTGGTCAAAAGCAACCGATTTTGTCCTATCATGTCTTATCCAAAAGTTAACCATTTTTGAGTTATTTGAATTTTAAGTTTTTTATTTTTTATTCCGATTTCAGACGGTTAAAATTGAAATACAAAAAAACTGCATGCTTGATTTTGAGTTTTTTGTTATCGTCGCATAGCAGACATTCCAATAGTTCATAATAAGTAATAAAATGAAAGCTACAAACGTTTTAAAATTACGCTTTTTAAATGTATCATTTTCTTTTTTTTTTAGTAACTTATTCGATAAAAAATGCAATTTTCTGTAAAAAATCTCCTAGTAATGAAATGTGCAAATTATGTAAATCTCTATCTAACAAGCTTTCATTTGAGGTATTAAGCGTTCAGTTATCTGAAGTACATGCAGAGAAACAACAATGACACCCACAGAGGCTGGATTTTTAAGGAATTTGTATTACCTGTTTGAACACGTTGTTACTGTCCTCAAAGGACTCGCATGCCATGATTGTTTTATGGCATCGGCTCGACGAGGAAGCGAGCGAGAAGAGCTGACTTAGTGGAGGAGTGTGAGAGAGAGAGATGTTATTATTCATCATTGTAGTTACGCCATCGCCGCATGCCGAGTGAGAATTAGGTTTAGTTGGTATCAACTACTGCGTACGCGCACACGTTTTACGCACGATTATTATTTTCGAATTTCCCAGTTCATTTCGAGTGCTTTCTTTATCATCATGGCAGACGCAGAATATCCGCCAGGACCTCGCCATAGCGAGCACGGGCAAACTTTCACAAATGAAGAATACGCAGACATAATGTTCTGTTATGGACTTTGTAACGGCGATTCTGCAGCTGCCCGCCGTGAATATCGGCAACGTTTCCCGAATCGCCGAACACCTCATGTTACTGTGTTTGACTCTGTGTATCGGCGTATCCGCCAAACCGGACGTGTTCAAAGGCAACATAGTGATGCTCTTCGACCCCGAGTCTATCCTCCTGAAGATGACGAGGAAATCCTTCGTGTGTTTCAGGAAGACCCTACTACGTCTACGCCCATTGTGTCTGCTCACTTGGGTATATCACAATACAAAGTATGGTTTACTGTGCATACTGCAAGATTATACCCTTATCTCTACACGCCTGTGCATGTGATTGAAGAGGGTGATCCTGCAAGACGATTACATTTCTGCAGGTGCATGTTACATGCAGATACAGAAGATCCAGACTATTTTAAGAAAATTCTGTATACCGATGAATCGAAGTTTGATAAGGACGGGATCACTAACTACCATAATGCTCATTACTGTGCTGATAAAGAAGCTTTGAACCCCCGAAAAATAAGACCGACGGGGTGTCAGAGCCGGTTTTCAGTCAATGTGTGGATGGGCATCATTGATGGATATTTAATTGGACCTCATCTTCTGCCCGCCAATTTAAATGGAGAAGTGTATGAAGAGTTCTTGAAAAATCACTTGTTTCCATTAATGGAAGACGTTCCCATTGGCGACGAGACAAAATATGCGGTTCCAGCACGACGGCTGTCCCGCACACTACAATAGATTAGTACGGGCGTATTTAGACTCTAAATTTCCAAATCAATGGATTGGCAGAGGCGGGCCCATTGCCTGGCCAGCAAGAAGCCCAGGTCTCACACCGATGGATTACTATGTGGGGGACATATGAAAAGCCTGGTGTACGATGTTTCGCCCGTACCAACGCGCGATGAATTAAAATACAAGGATAATCAGTGCAGCTGACCAAATAAAAAGCCGCTTAACAACTAGAGTTACCAAAAGTGAATTACGTAAGAGAATGCGGGCGTGTATTCGTAACAGGGGATTACAATTTGAGCAGAATCTGTAAAATACTAAAGAAAATGTAATTAAATAAAACTGTAATTAGAATAAAAGCCTTTTATTTATCCTACGTAATTATCGTTCGTACAACTTTACTCATCTTTTTTTTAATTTTATGTCTTTGTACTTGAGTTAGTTGTAACTTTTATACCTCAAATGAAAGCTTGTTAGATAGAGATATTATTTACATAATTTGCACATTTCACTACTAGGAGATTTTTTACAGAAAATTGCATTTTTTATCAACATTTTATTACTTATTATGAACTTTTGGAATGTCCGCTATGTGACGATAACAAAAAACTCAAAATCAAACATGCAGTTTTTTTTGTATTTCAAATTTAACCGTCTGAAACCGGAATAAAAGATAAATAAAATAAAATTCAAATAACTCAAAAACGGTTAACTGCTGGATAGGACATTATAGGACAAAATCGGTTGCTTTTGACCTAATCTATCACCCCTTAACAGGAATACGTGACATTACAAGTTACCCTGTATACAAATGCAATGTATTTAAAAGATATTAAGGAACCATGATCAAATAAGGACTATTTTGGGATTTATAACCTTCTGATATTTTTTCCTCAACTTTGACCATCTGTGGTGAAACAAAAATCTACTGGGCTATAACTGCATTATATTGAATAAAAAGATTGCTCATTGAATACAGATTTCAGAAAGGCACCACACGTACTATTTGGAATAGAAAAAAGTGATAGCTGCTTTGGTAAATGACTGACACACTACAATATAATTATTGGATTTAAATTTAAGTCGCACTGGTTACCGATCAGTGACATACTAAATAGTACAAAGCTACATTATTATTACCTGCTCCTGATATAATTTTATGAAACTTGAGGAAACAATATATCCCAAAACAGTCCTTATTTTATCGTGGTTCCTTAATATCTTTTAACTACATTGCATTTGTATATGATAAAGCAAATATCTAGGAGTATTTTATAGCAAAAATGAACAAAGTATAATATTATTTATTAATGCAGCCAAAGACCACAGATGAAAAGGTTCGTTTTTGGAAAATTTAAGAAAATATTCAGTATCTCAAAAACGGTGACACTTTTATATAGGTAAGTTTTTGTTATTTGGGAGGTCAGTCCCAAGCCTACCTTCTCCTTAAGTTTGTCGTGGTACTTATTGGACATCCTGTATACATATATAGGTGAACAAATAAAGCTTCCGCCTTTAGTTGGGTGCTTCGACAAGATTAAAGCGATGAGGATTCTTTATACTTTATTAGTCTCTAGCTGTAGACGGACTATGCCATCATCATCAAGAGAATATTATGTGAGATTGTTGCTAAATGTTATTAAAGGTTAAGTTGAGGGAAACATTTAGTAACCTGGTGAAAGCAGGATCCATGGTACATTCGTTAAAATTGGTAAAAAACACAGACAGCTGTACGTCAGGAATACATCACAACAGATTAAATATATTTGGAAGGAAAGTTAAAATTATTTCATGTTACATCGTGAAACAACCACTTGATGCTTTTTTTTCCTGTGCTAATCGTTTTCTGCCCTTGATAAAATCCTTCATCAGTCTTACTGCCTGGTTCCCATGACGATCTTCAATGGTGTTGAAAAATCCAAGATCTGTGGATGTAACTTGAGACGTGGTCATTGTCGTCTAGACCAGTTAGGTGAAAAAATAAAGCTTTCGCCTTTAGTTGGGTACTTCGACAAGATATTCAGCATCAAGTGGTTGTTTCACATGTAATAATTTTAACTTTCATTCCAAATATTTTTAATCCGTTGTGAAGTGTTTCTGACATACACCTATGTGTGATTTTTACCAATTTTAACGAATGTACCATGGATCCCACTTCCACCAGGTTACTAAATGTTTCCCTCAACTTAACCTTTAATCACATTTAGCAACAATCTCACATACTATTCTCCTGATGATGATGGCATAGTCCGTCGAAAGCTAGAGACAAATAAAGCATAAAGACTCCTCATCGCTTTAATCTTGTCGAAAGCCAGAAGCTTTATTTTTTCACCTAAAGCCAGCCATACACCATCCCTCTTATCGTCCGATCGGCATGACGCTGCAGACTTGATCCAATCTACAGTTCGTCCATGTACACCACACACGATCATTTTGACGTTTGACAATTGGTAGCGACGTTCAGTTGGAGCGATGGCGTCACCAGTGACAGACGACGATGTTTTAGCAGTTTTGGGCATTTTACTCGTAGTAAAGAAACAAAATGAAAGAAAAGATCGAGCAGCGTGGTCAAACAGTGGTTAATGAAAAGAAAACAGTTTACTCATACACATTTATTAAAAGAATTGAGGATTACGCCAAAAGATTACCGAAATTATTTACGAATAAATGAAGAAACTTACATGAAACTTCAATCGTTAGTGAATTGAGAAGCAAGACACTGTCATGAGAAACCGTATATCTGCACACGAGAGGCCAACAGTGACTTCAGGATTTCTAGCAACAGGGAGAACATATGAATGCCTAAAATTTTAGGCAAAAATATTGGCTCAATCTTTAGGGCGAATTATACCAGAAACCTGTAATGCTATTTTCAAAGTTCTCAAAAAGGATTATATACCGGTAAGAGTATTTAGAAACTAGCCGATTCCCGCGGCTACCGTGATAAGAACTATCCAGTACTTCATCTATTCATATCATACTTACCAAGTTTCATTCAAATCCGTTCAGCCGTTGAGACTTGAAAGAGGATATATCCAGTACAGGTATTTTTAATTAAATTTGTCTTTTGCAGTTTCCCGATACTTCCGCTAAATGGAAAGAAATTGCAAACCTCTTTGAAGAAAGGTGGAATTTCCCTCATTGCCTCTAGCAATAGATGGGAAACACATTGATATAATCCCACCTGCTGACAGCGCTTCTTATTACTACAACTACAAACGACGACACAGCATGGTTCTCATGGCAATTGTTGACGCAAGATACCGATTTATAATGGCAGATTTTGGAACAAATGGAAGAGTTTCTGAAGTTTTTCAAAAAATTGAAAAATAACACGTTCAATATTCCAGATCCTGAAAGCATCGAAAGTAACTCAAGATATCTGCCGTATGTGTTTGTTGCTGACGATGCGTTCCCATTGAGAACCCATATGCTAAAGCCATATGGCCAAGCTGATTTGGACAGCCACGACAAAAGAATATTCAACTACAGATTATCTCGCGCAAGACGTATCGTAGAAAACGCATTTGGCATATTATCTTCACGATTTCGCATTTTTCATACTCAAATTAATATACAGGGTGGGGCAAAAGTCGCGAAGGGATTTGAAAAATTAATAACTTTTTTAAATTTTAATTTTAATTTTTTTCCCTAACACAAAACTAAAATGCAATGTTTGGAGTTTGTTTACAATTTAAGTGTGAAAGATTACATCACGCAAATGACCGCCATTTTCAGCCTCGCAAAGTGCAGCTCTTGCAAGAGCATTTTCCATTACCCGAGTCAGAATATCTGGCCCCAAAGCACTTACTTCTGCTCGAATATTATCTTTTAGTTGCTGCAGGGTTGTGGGTTTATTAATATACACTTTTCCTTTCAGATATCCCCAAAGGAAATAATCAGGGGCTGTTAAGTCCGGCGAGCGGGCGGGCCAATTGAATCCTGAATTTCTCGAAATTAAACGTTCGCCAAAAATCTGCCTTAGAAGGTGCATAGTGGCTCGAGCAGTATGCGCAGTGGCTCCATCTTGTTGGAAAGTCATCGTTTGATTGTCAGCAAGAGCTGGTCTTAAGAAATTTTGAATCATATCACGATATCGGTCGCCATCTACAGATACAGCATTCCCATCGTGGTCTTCGAAGAAGAATGGTCCAATAATTCGTTGAGACGTAACTGCGCACCATACTGTACATTTAAGCGGATGTAATTGCCTTTGATGAACCACCCTTGGGTTCTCGGTACCCCATATTCTGCAGTTCTGCTTATTTACGAAGCCATTCAAATGAAAATGGGCTTCATCGCTCATGATCAGAGAATGAATAAATTCATTATCTTCTCGAGCCATTCTTTGCAAGCGAACTGCATAAGTTAGTCGTTCTTGAAAATCTGCTGGTTTTAGTTCTTGCACTAGCTGCACTTTATATGGAAACAGATGTAAATTTCCTCTTAATATTCTGCGTAAAGACCTTTGAGACATCTGCAGCTCAGCAGAACGTCTTCGGGTTGAGGTTTCCGGATTCTCCTGAACACTCTCCTGAACGCGTTGAATGTTCCCTTCATTTCTTGCGGAACGTGGCCTTCCGCTTCGTGGGAGATCCATAACTGTGCCTTGTTGCTGAAATCGTGCCACTAAGCGTCGAATCATTGATTCAGAGGGCGAATTCCGCAAATTGAAATGACGACGATATGCTCGTTGAGTTTGAATTATTGAATGGTGATATTCAAAATAAAATTCTATAAGTTTGGTTCGTTGATTGAGGTTGTAACGCTCCATAATTAATCTCCAGGATTTATTTTACACGGTCCTGCAAAAAAAAATGAAAACAAAATAAATTTAAAAAAGTTATTAATTTTTCAAATCCCTTCGTGACTTTTGCCCCACCCTGTAGAACCAGATAATATACAAAAGGTAGTGATGGCTACCATAGCTTTGTACAACTTTTTAATGGAGCATGTGCCTTATTCATATGTACCCTCAACATGCTTTTATCGAGAAAATATCAACAATGGGACTGTTGTCAACAGTGGGTATGATACTACAAGGTCAACCTTGGAAAATTTAGAAAGACGAAATCAAGGAAATCTGTTTAATAATGCGAAAATTGTCAGACAAGAATACCAAAATTACTTTGTCAATGAAGGCAAAGTGCCGTGGCAGGATAATTTTGTTTAAAACACAATTTACTTTATAAGTTTTTATTATTAAATTATTTTCTTATTATATTTATTATTCATATATTATAGGAGTTGAGGTTTTTTAACTGTTTGTGACAGGAGAGGAAATCTCAAGTGTTAATATCTTATCTCCTAACCTTTCAATTGGTGTATTAATCCCATCTTCTGCCAAATGATTGTGAATAATGTGATTAATCGATGTTAGTCTATGGGTGATGTGAGATGGTGTGATGCCATTTTTCCTGCATTTGATCAAGTCATCGTTGGTTGTCAGAGCGGTCCGTGGGACCTTAGCTCTTGAGTCACAGTGTCAGTTTGTAAGTCTGTCAGGTCTGGTAACCCAGAAACCAGACAATTTTAAGGAAAAAAGGGGAAGGAAAGGAGAGAAGGAAGAACGAGAGCAAAGGGGAAGAAGAGAATCTTTTAGGATATGCAGCGTTTAGGCATTGTTAAAATCGCTTCACAGATTTTGATATGGTCTAAAAATATTTGATTTTTTCTAAAGATTGTGTAAAAATGCTCAAATTTTGGTTGTTCTAAGTTCACGAGTTAATTTTGATTACAGTGCGAGCCGCGGCCTTTTGTGCTTGCGAACTTGCTCGACTGTGTAGTCCACTGAATCACGCAACAGAGGGTTGCTGTGCGATTCCGCTAGGCTATAGCGCCGCTGCGCCTGTTGCTTAATGTAGTCCTTTAGGTAAGGGACATCGAGGTCTCTATGTAGAGTTTCGTTAGAGACATACCATGGGGCATCAGCAATAGTGCGCAACGTCCTGCTTTGCAGAACCTGCAGACTTCGCATGTGTGTTTTAGCAATAAAACACCAAGCCGCACATGCGTATGTCATTGCTGGTCTTATGACCACCTTATAGAGTCGAATCTTGTTAATCAAACTTAATTTTGACCGTTTACATAATAATGGGTAAAGCTGCCGAAACGTAATTTGGAATTTAGTTTTTAGCGCTTCCATATGGTTCCGCCAAGTCATCCCTTTGTCCAGAATGACACCGAGATACTTAGCGGAGGATTCCCATGGTATATGAAGTCCATTCATTGAAACTTCAGACGGAACGCCGCGACGTCTTTTTGTACAGTAGATTGCCTGCGTTTTCGAATGGTTTATTTTAATTAGCCACCGATCCGCCCAATCTAATACTTCTTCCACCGCACTTTGCAGCCTGTCATGGACTAGGTCACCAGACCACGACTGAGCCACCAATGCAGTATCGTCAGCATAGAGATAGACTTCACAGTTGCTGGGACTAGGGACGTCATGGATGTACAGTGAGTAAAGGATAGGTCCAAGGACCGAACCCTGAGGGACGCCGGCTGTAATCAGCCGTGTTGTCGACAGCACATTGTCAATTTTGATCCGAAATTTCCTACCTTCAAGGAAGGATTTCAGTAGTTTTAGAAGCCAAAAAGGGAAGCCCTTTTGGATTAGTTTATACAAGAGGCCCGCGTGCCACACCTTGTCAAATGCTTTTGAGACATCCAAAAGCAAGATGCCAGTACTTTCGTTAAGGGTGAATCCTCTGGTTACACGTTCCACCAGCCTAACCGCCTGTAGCTCCGTACTATGTTCAGACCGAAAACCGAATTGCACGTCAGGAATCACATGGTGATCTGACGAGAAATTCTCAAGGTGACGTAGAATCACCTTTTCAGCGAGCTTAGACGCAGCTGACAGCAGGCTAATGGGACGATAATCCTGGGGAAATATCGAACCCACCTTCTTTGGAATCATTATAACTTCAGCGGTCTTCCACGCGGATGGGAAGTACTGGATCCTGAGCATGGCATTGACTATTGCCACGAGATAAGTTAAGGACTTCCGCGAAAGCAGCTTCAGCGCCTTATTAGTGATTTGATCCTCCCCAGGTGCTTTACGCACTTTAAGGTCTTTAATATGACCTTGAATCTCTGCTGGTGTGCAATGCGGGATCTCAGGAGATACCGCTGATGTGCTAAGCAAATCTTCGGTTGAAGAAGCTTCTGAAGAAGAATCTTCTGATGAAGAAAAATCACCAACGAATGCGCGACTGTCACTGACGCCGTTGGCCCTAAAATATCTCCTGACAGATCTTACGATGTGTTGCTCCTCGTCGAGGTCATTATCAAGATCATAGTTGGGAGAGAACTGTCTTTCCATGGCATCGGCGAAAACCTCAACCTTCTCCTCTGTCCTGAAGACAATGCCTCCAGGACCGTGAATGTGTGGGATTTGGCATTTGATCAAGAGGACCCGTCTATTGGTTTCGTGTGCTAATCGTTAAAAAACCTCAACTCCTCTCTAAAATCATTAAAACATAATATAATTTCTTCCACAAATCTTCAAATTTTCAATAATTTTGAATCTAGCCAATTAAGACATTACAACACCCAGTTCCATGACATTAAAATTCTAATATTCGCAAGTTTGACAAATTGCTGGACGATTCTATAAGAATTTTACTTAACACTCAACCAAACGTTGGCAAGGACATCCCAATCAGATCCATTATAGCTGATGTAGACATTATAGCCTCCTCCATTAATGACGAAACAAATAGGAACATTTTCACAACTCGCTCTACGAATATCATTACAACTGCTTACCACAACAGTAACACAAAAAAGAGAAATACCTTCTATCACAACTTATTGAATAAAACTAAAAAATTCCTTAAAGAACACCCCGAATTAATGGTTACACGATCTGACAAAGGCAATGTCACGGCTATAATGCTCAAACAACAATATTTTGATCTATGCAATAACTTAATTGATATTGATCCTTCCTATAAATTAATGAATAGGGACCCCACAACAAGAGTTGAAAAATGTTGTAATGACTTTGTTAGCGAGCTTTTCGACACTGGACAAATAAACCAAGACCAGAAAAAATCACTAACCACATACAACTCAGTCTCACCAAAATTTTATGCCCTGCCTAAAATACATAAACCAACACTGTCAGTAAGACCTATAATAGCATTAAAGGTGAATACTACATCAAAGACTCTTTTGATGAATCCCGACAATTTAACAGGTTGCAGATACCACCGGGACATGTAATCGCAAGTCTAGACGTGGTATCTCTATTCAGTAACGTGTACTTTGAAGCTTGTATCAGATCCATTCACAAACATTGGGATATAATAGGTCAGCACTGTAACCTAACTCTGGAATCATTGGTCACCATCTTAGAATATATTTTTAACAACAATTTTTTCACTTTCAACAATAAAACCTATTCACAAACACATGGTTGCCCAATGGGATCAGTGTTATCACCAATTTTAGCAGACTATTTAATGGATGACCTGCTTGATATTCTCATTCAGGTACTGCCTTATA